GAGTGTATCAGTCTGTAGTGGAAGGAAGGCGGGGTAGGTAAGGTTGGAGGGAGGGGGTAAAGGAGGTTTTGTGTGCAAGGGGCTTGGACTTCCAGCAGGCATGCATGAGCATGTTTGATAGGAGTGAATGGAGACTCGGGGGCGGTGGGAGTGTTTTGAATGTAGTGAAGAGGCTGTGAAAACATGGGACCAGGAAATTGGCGTTCACGGCGGCCTAAGGATTAATATAGGCCTCACTTCATAATAGGAAGTGTCGTAACTGTTCCTGGTGAAGAGTGAGGGAATGTGATTTACGGGACCACCGTAATAAAGTGGTAAAATGAGTGAATAATGGTAGGACCGGGGGTGACTGGCGCGTCGCCATGGACTGTGTCCCGGGGAAAAATACCCGTGGTTTAATCATCACTCATCAGTCTCATTTCTTAATGGAGTGGTCTCCAATGTGTATAATAATTAGGAGACATTAAACCGTATGGTGGGCTAAGAAGTAATCAGTGATAATAACACCAAGTTAAGAGAATGTGTGAAGTGAAATGAGTCGCCGTTCTCAGAGTGAGCATCTGTTTATCTCGTGTTCCTGTCTCGAGGATAGTGAAGTTTTTATGGAGTCACGACTTCTAAACCGGGACAAACCAATGGATACCTCGTCCTGCTGGAATAAGAACCATGTCTGTGTAGCAGGACATCGAAATGTGATGGTGAATGGAGGAAATAAGGAGCATCAATCACCCACAGTTAAGTAACCCTTCTAGTTATAGCAGACTGATACTGGCCAGTTAGGTATGTTGTAATTGGATAGGTTATGGGTGATCCAGCTACTTCAAGTGACCACCAGAGAATATCTGGTAAGTGGTGGGATTATGTACAAGTGTTTTTCCTTGATGGATATATCCATGTGTAACCTACCCCCCCCTTTCATTCAGTTAAACTAATATAATCTATACAGTCCACAATTAATTAGTAGCGCCGTACTTGTGGGTGCTATCCAATTTTACTGGTCTCGGAGAGATATGGATAAGATTGTGAATGTCGAAGGAGCCACCTGCAGTGACCAGAGGTGGTTAAGTTTTCTCACATGTCTACACGGGGTGACTACGGTAAACAATATAGTTGTTGTCTCCCAATGAGATTACTCATATGCATGTAATGTTGAGGTACGTACAGGTAACACCCCTAGGAAATTTTCCATAGATACTAATATCAACTCTACAGCTTATTTATCTATCACAATTCATCTAATATAACATAATAAACAATATTAATAACATAGAAACATACATACATGATATAGTGGTGGTGGTGGCAGTGGCAGCAGCCACTGCCACTAATCATACTACTAGTCACACTGAAACACCACTAGTCACATTGAAACAATGTAGATAATTTATAAATAAGAAATATTGTATAAAAACATAATAGAGAATGTAAAGAAATAAAGTGGCTATTGTGGAGAACGTAAAGAAATAAAGTGGTTATTGAGATGATAGCAGAGGTTTAGGGTGGTGGAAGATATGCAGGGCGGCACATGTTGTCAGTGGCCCTATACACCTCCAACAACATTGGAAGAGTTTTGTGTCATCCTTTTTCTAACACTTAATTGCTTAACTTACTTGCTACACTGTTAATGCTACACTTTATCGCTGGCTGGCACTATGGCCTTTATCGACTCCTGCTGCTTTAGTATCGTACATATCATAGAATCACTGAAGAAGGCACATTCTCCCCTCTCTCTCTCACCCCTTTACAAAAGGGCTGGTGGCACTAGGCACTTTCTTTGGGCCCATGGTGGCTTATTTCGCAGTCGCACTCAATAAACAACCACAAAAAAATGGATTATGACGAGATGTTTGGATGAATGCGTGGAGTGTTGCTCACTCACCGAGAGACACAGCCAGACTGACTCACAAACGTGGCAGAGTGGCAGGCTGATGCGTTCAATAAGGCCGATTTCTGAGTTGATGGCTGAAATCCGGGACAGAATTTCAGCCAAAAAAGCAGCCGAAATCAGAATCGGCCGATATCCAGAATGGCCGATAACCGAGGGTCCACTATACCATAAATGTTATAAATGGTGCAAAGGTGACATTAAAAAAATATCTAAAGATGGTTGATACAAACAGGGCCGGATTACCGCATAGGCAAACTAGGCATTTGCCTAGGGCCCCGCAGTCCAAGGGGTTCAGGGGCTCATCCAAGACTGCGCACATGGTGCAAGTGCAAAGGGGTCCCTACCTAAAAAGTTCAAGTGTTTGGAGAGTAAAATTGATTTTTAAAAATTAATCAAAACAAAAATAAATAATGAAATAAAATAAAACTGCAAAATACTTTGCAATAAGTGTAGATTCAACACCAGATATTTCACATACAGATCAATTGACATTCATTGTTTGCTTTGTCGACTCCAGTGGTAAGCCTGTAGAGCGCTTTATAAAATTCATTCCTCTTTCAGGCCATGATGGAGAAACAATGATGAATGTAGTACTGGATACTCTGCTTGAACATGATCTCTCTATTATGGATTGCCGTGGCCAGAGCTACGACAATGCAAGTAACATGTCGGGTAAATATAATGGATTGCAAGCCCGTATCAAGCAAATCAACCCACTTGCTGAATATGTGCCCTGCTCAGCACATTCTCTTAATCTTGTTGGGTCATGTGCTGCGGAGTGTTGTGTCGCTGCAGTTTCATTTTTTGGACTTTTACAAGCACTCTTTAATTTTTTCTCTGCTTCAACCTATCGGTGGAGTATACTCAAGTCAACCATTCATGGAGATGTCATCAAATCATTATCAACAACAAGGTGGTCAGCACAGCATGATGCAACACATGCTTTGAAAGACAGCTTTGCTGAAATACGTTCTGCTTTGATCCAAATAGCAGAGGATGAAGACCAGACAGCAACTACAAGAAGCGAAGCAGCCAGCTTAGCATCAAAATTGGAAGATTTGAATTGGCCTTACTCTGTGTGCTTTGGGACTGTATACTGGAACGGTTAAATGCCACGAACAAGACACTTCAGAAAATTTAAATTGAAATGGCTACTTGTGCTAACCTCTATGCAGGCTTAGTGGAATTTGTAAGCTCACTTCGCAATGATGAAGCTTTTGAAATGTTTGAAGAGAAAGCTAAACTGCTGGTGAAAGACTACAGTTACCGGGCTGATCATCAGCGGTCAAGGAAGAGGAAACGCAATTTTGAAGTGCCAGACAATGAAATTGTGTTGCTACCAAGGCAGAAATGTAAGACAGCTACATACTTCGTCATTCTGGATTCACTGATTACAGAATTGGTGAAAAGAAAAGAAATCTACCAGAATCTCAATGACAAGTTTGGATTTCTGTTCAAAATTACTACTATGCCAGATGCAGAATTGAGAGAAGCTGCATTAAAGTTGTAACAACACCTTTCAGCAGATGTTCAGGACACATTTGTTGAAGAAATAGTTCATTTTTCTGGGTATATGAATCTGATTAAAGCTCCACCTGAAAAATGTGCACCCTCAGCTGCTTTGAAACATTTAAGAAATGCAGGTATCTCAGAAACCTTCCCTAATGTTGACATAGTGTATCGCCTTTACCTAACACTTCCAGCTTCTAACTGTGAAGGAGAACGTTCATTTTCTGTTTTGAAAAGAGTGAAAAACCAGCTCCGTTCAACAATGAGCCAAGACAAATTGTGTAACCTAGCCTTGTTGACCATTGAGTCTGATCTAACAAGAAATATATGATTTTCAGAATATAATTGATGATTTTGCCAATATGAAATCCAGAAAAAAATATTTATTTAAGAAGTGCCTGTGAATATAAACAATTCTTTACTTTCTTGAGTTTATATGATTTGATAGTCTTATGCATGATGCAATGATAACAATAATGGTCAGTGATTTATAAAGGGAATAATAGTGCTGTAGTGGTTATGCTGAATATAATAGGTACATGATGTCACTACTTTAATAGCCTAATCTAGTAATACTATGCTGTCTTGAGTTTATTCTCTTTAAAATGCATAATTTAACAAGATAGTTATAATGGCTGTTGGTAAATGGTTTTGGTTGTCTTGATGCACTTTCCCTATTAAATTTAATCTAAATAGCCAGAATGTATTTAATTAGACCTTAAACAGGCTCACACCGACCCCCACCCCCAAGCTGGAAGGGGTCGCTTCGCTTACCCGTAACTCAAAGGGGCCCCGCCAATCTGAATAGCCTAGGGCCCGGAGACTTCTTAATCCGGCCCTGGATACAAACCCACCACCAGTACAATGTGCTCCTCGCTTAACGACCAATTCGCTTACCAACCTACTCTTAAGAACAGAACCCTGTCATTCAGTAAGGAGAGGCTGTATTTGTATTTTTTCCAAATATTGTTAGTTTTTGGTCAGTGTTTATAAAATACACTACATGGCATCTTCTGAAGCTACTGTGGAGATGTTGTCAGGGCCTAGGGACTCAGTAACTCTTTTAATCTTGAATGGAAAGATGTCGCTTGTGCTCATGACTTAAGGTGTTTCACATACATGGACTCTCACAGGTAATTAATTATTGTTTTCCCTCAAAATTTATTCTCCTATTAGCAAAGTTTTCCTTGTTATTCATAAACAGATTGTCATGATTGTTACAGACTATTACAAAACGCATCTGTAATAGTCTTTCCCATTTATGATTTATTTATTTTAAAATACCAACACAAAAAAACATTCAAAATTAAGAATTTTTTTTGTATACAATGTAATGATACTATATTGTTCAATACGTTCTCTACAATTCTGTTCATTTAGAGTAAACTAGAACATCCTAAGCATTACCAATTGGTAGAAATTTTACTGATGTGTTGCTCTATCAAAAACCATTAATTTATTTTTTCTCTTATTATTTTTAGGCAAGCTTCATGAAACCTCTAGTTTACACTAGTTACCACCTTTGTAACTTACAATAAATAATTAATTGGAATTTGATTATTATTAATAAAAATTCCTAAATGCTGCTCCTCCCCTTAAAGACTCACATAGGGCCTCTTCCACTCAACATCGGGATCAACACGACTGGAGAAGAAGAGAGATGTATTATCTGCAGGGAAGTCCTCATCGCAGTAATGTTCATCCACTGCCAGGTTGTTCCTAAGGTGCTCTATGGTCTCTGCTTCCTGAAAGGAACACCAGTTATGGACCGACACTCCAGCAGTCTTAGCCTCTTTCCTGGAACCCCTATGTCAACTTCAAAACTTGAAGTCTATTATTCATATACCCTAAACCATATCCATAATTTGTTTCAAGTCATAGCTCATGATTTAGAGCAAATTTTGATAAAGGAACAAATCCAAGTGTTCTTTGTATTATGCTGTAGGTGTATCCCTACTGGCCCATGGCAGATGTACTACCTCAGTCATGCCATAAATACTTTGCTATGCCAAATAATAATATTCAGACTGTTCTAATCAAACACAGTGACTGTATATTGCTTGCTGAAATCATGAGATGGCTTAGTAAAGCATCCATGGGCTTAGCATTTTTTCTTTTTATTATATATATAATATAACACTAACACTCACTCATTCACTCACTCACTCACATACACACACACACATACACACACACACACACACACACACACACACAAACACACACACAAACACACACACACAAACACACAACACACAAACAAACACACAAACACACACACAAACACACACACACACATCACACACACACACACACACACACACACACACCACACACACACACACACACACACACACACACAGATAAGGAGGGAGGCCCAGCGACAGTACGAAAATGACATAGCATCGAAAGTCAAGTCTGACCCGAAACTGCTGTATAGCCACATTAGGAGGAAGACAACAGTCAAAGACCAGGTGATAAGGCTGAGGAAAGAAGGTGGGGAACTCACAAGAAACGATCAAGAGGTATGTGAGGAGCTCAACATGAGATTTAAGGAAGTATTTACAGTGGAGACAGGAAGGCCTCTCGGGGGACAGACCAGATGGGGACACCAGCAAGGAATATACCAACAAGTGTTGGATGACATGCATACAGATGAGGAGGAGGTGAAGAAACTGCTAAGGGACATCGATACCTCAAAGGCAATGGGACCGGATAACATCTCCCCGTGGGTCCTTAGAGAGGGAGCGGATATGTTGTGTGTGCCACTTACCACAATCTTCAACACGTCCCTGGAAACTGGGCAACTACCTGAGGTATGGAAGACGGCAAATGTAGTTCCCATTTTTAAAAAAGGAGACAGAAAAGAGGCACTAAACTATAGACCTGTGTCACTGACGTGTATAGTATGCAAAGTTATGGAGAAGATTATCAGGAGGAGAGTGGTGGAGCACCTGGAACAGAACAAGAGTATAAACGCCAAACAGCATGGATTCATGGAAGGAAAATCCTGTGTCACAAACCTTCTGGAGTTTTATGATAAAGTAACAGAAGCAAGACATGAGAGAGAGGGGTGGGTTGATTGCATCTTCTTGGACTGCAAGAAGGCCTTTGACACAGTTCCTCACAAGAGATTAGTGCAGAAGCTAGAGGATCAGGCTCATATAACAGGAAGGGTATTGCAATGGATCAGAGAATACCTGACAGGGAGGCAACAACGAGTCATGGTACGTAATGATGCATCACAATGGGCACCTGTGATGAGCAGGGTCCCACAGGGGTCAGTCCTAGGACCAGTGCTATTTTTGGTATATGTGAACGACATGATGGAAGGGTTAGACTCAGAAGTGTCCCTGTTCGCAGACGATGTGAAGTTAATGAGGAGAATTAAATCAGATAAGGACCGGGCAGGACTTCAAAGAGACCTGGACAGACTGGACACCTGGTCCAGCAACTGGCTTCTCGAATTTAATCCCGCCAAATGCAAAGTCATGCCCAGTGTTCATGCCCAGCACATTGATGTTGCCACCCATACACATCTTGAAATGATGTTCTTCAAGCTCTGCATAAACACTAGTACCTCTGTACTAGCATGTGCAATGTACAGACATCAGTGGCAACATGCAGATCCCATCAACTTCCTAATGGAAAATATTGACTCCCTTCTGCTACAACACAACTGTCAATATATCATAATTGTTGGTGACCTCAACCAGCACCTTATACAGAGGGACTTTGATGACCTTCTTGCAGTGTTTGACATGAGAAACTTTGTTGATTTCCCAAATCACATCTCTGGCTCCTCCCTTGACCCAGTAGTGAGTGATCTGGTAGAAGGCATAGTCACTTGTCAACCCCTCGGCTATGTTGGATCGTCTGACCACAAGGCTGTTTTTACGACACTTAAGATCCCAACAGAACGAGTTGAGGAGTCCACACGCACAACCTGGCTATGGGAAAGAGGTGATTGGCCAGCCCTTCGCTCTGAGCTTGCCACCACCAATTGGAATGCTCTTCTCCAAGGGGATGTTGACAACCAAGTGAAAGCCTTCACTGGACACATCCTTAATCTACAACAAGAACACATTCCTCACCGGCAATATGTGACGAAGCCTACAGATCAGCCTTGGTTTGGCTTTCATTGTAGAGAGGCTGCTACTGCTAAGTACAAAGCATGGCGAAGGTATAAGAGACATCCTACCACCTATAACAGGAACTTGCACAGGCAAGCCTGTAGACATATGGGTGACGTTCAAAAGTGGACCATTGCTAAATGGGAGGTGGACACTAAAAGAAAGCTAGCATCAGGTAGGGTAGGCTCCAAAACCTGGTGGTCCCTGGTCAAGGACAGACAAGGTTATCTGCCTGATGAACTCATTCCACCTCTAAATCGATAGGATGGGACCACCTCTACTAGTAGTCAAGAGAAGGCAGACCTCTTTGCTGAACACTTTGCTACCAAAATGCAAATTCCTGATCCAGCAAGGGACCCTCCTTGGCTAGCTGCAAGAACTGTGTCAAAACTATCAGTGGTGACAATAAGGCAGGAGGAGGTGCATTTCCTTCTTAAATCGCTTGACCAAAAAAAGGCTGTGGGCCCAGACAAGTTGAGCCCAAGATTGCTGAGAAGATGTGCAGACCAGCTAGCAGCACCTCTAACTCGCATCTTTCAGCACTGCCTAGTACAGTGTAAATGGCCCTCTCTATGGAAAGAGACAAATGTAGTCCCTGTTCACAAAAAGAAGAGCAGAGCAGAAATCAGCAACTACAGACCAGTGTCACTCCTGTCAATCACTGGTAAGGTCCTTGAGACAATAATCTCAAGACAAATGACAGAGTTTTTTGACTATCACTCACTACTTTGTGATCGTCAATATGGCTTCGGGAAAGGTTACTCTGCTGCTGATCTGTTGTTAAACCTCTCCACTAAGTGGCACCAGTCACTGGATGAATCCAAAGTCAGCTGTGTGGTAGCACTGGACATGCTGGCGCTTTCGACCGGGTGTGGCACCAGGGCCTCTTAGCAAAACTTCAAGCACTGGGAATTGCAGGCTCTACACTATGTCTCCTCAGTGATTACCTTCATGGTAGATCTCTAAGGGTAGTTCTCAATGGAACGGAATCAGCAAGACATCCTATTGGGGCAAGCTTTCCACAAGGAAGTGTGCTGGGACCATTGTTATGGAATGTCTACTTCAACGACCTTCTTCATCTCATCCCAGAATCACATGCATATGCAGACGACTGCACATTGACATTCACTTATCCAAGAGAAGAAATGCCAGCTGCTCTAAGCTACATCAATCACCAGCTGAGAGCTATATCAGCTTGGGGAAATAGATGGCAAGTAACATTTGCACCTGAGAAAACGCAAATGATGATCGTCTCTAGGCACCATGATGGTAATGCAGGTGCAGTAGTAAGGATGAATGGGAGGGTGTTGGCACCTGGAGAAGAAGTTGATATCCTTGGGGAGAAATTTGACTCCAAACTAACCATGAAGAACCATGTTGTAAATCTTGCAAACAAGGCAGCCAGGAAGCTTACAGCACTTCGCCGTATCTCGCCTCTACTTGGCAGTAGGGGTTGCAAGATTCTGTACGAGGCACAAGTACGCTCGCACCTTGAGTATGCTCCACTTTCTTGGTGTGCCTGCCCCCCCCTCTCATCTGCGACTGCTTGACAGAGTAGAGAACAGAGCAAGACGTCTCATCTCTCGCCTGGACCAATCCTGGATAGATCTGTCATTTCAGCAGAGCCTTCAACATAGGAGGGATGTAGGTGGCCTTACTGTTATGTACAAGGCTAATATTGTCAAAGTACCACACTTGGATCTACTTCGAGGACAGCATGAAACAAGCTTTTATGCCACAAGACGGGCAGAAAACAGCAACTTCACTCTGGCTGTACCCTTCTCCAGAACTTCACTCCATCTGAGATCCTATATACCCAGGATGACTCGAGTATGGAACACATTCGTACTGCATAATGATGTCGAGATAAAGTCAGTTGATCAAATGAAAATGCTGGCCCACAGATGGCTCCAACTTCATCCTGTTCCCTACTTGTATGTCTCATAACAATAAAAATGCTTTCAAATGAGCTGATGTAGGTAACAGCTCTTAGCTTGTCAATAAAGTTAGGAATCCTTAACCTGTAAATAGCTTGTCAATAAAGCTAGGGATCCTTAACCTAGTCAAACCCTGTATAAAAAAAAAAAAGTCACGAAGATAGGGGAAGGGCAAAGAAGACCGCAAACAGAGTATAGGCTAGGTGGCCAAAGACTGCAAACCTTGCTCAAGGAGAAAGATCTTGGAGTGAGTATAACACCGAGCATGTCTCCGGAAGCACACATCAACCAGGTAACTGCTGCAGCATATGGGTGCCTGGCAAACCTGAGAACAGCGTTCCGATACCTTAATAAGGAATCGTTCAAGACACTGTACACCGCGTACGTCAGGCCCATACTGGAGTATGCAGCACCTGTTTGGAACCCGCACTTGATAAAGCACGTCAAGAAACTAGAGAAAGTGCAAAGGTTTGCGACAAGGTTAGTTCCAGAGCTAAGGGGAATGTCTTATGAAGAAAGGTTAAGGGAAATCGGCCTGACGACACTGGAGGACAGGAGGGTCAGGGGAGACATGATAATGACATAAAATACTGCGCGGAATAGACAAGGTGGACAAAGACAGTATGTTCCAGGGAGGGGACACAGAAACAAGAGGTCACAATTGGAAGTTGAAGACACAGATGAGTCAGAGAGATACTAGGAAGTATTTCTTCAGCCATAGAGTTGTCAGGCAGTGGAATAGCCTAGAAAGTGATGTAGTGGAGGCAGGAACCATACATAGTTTTAAGACGAGGTATAATAAAGCTCATGGAGCAGGGAGAGAGAGGACCCAGAAGCAACCGGTGAAGAGGCAGGGCCAGGAGCTAGGACTCCTGCAACCACAAATAGGTGAGTACACACACACACACACACACACGGGAAAATCTCTCCCCTTCCCACATTCCACAAATCATTTAAACTACAACATAACATTAAGGTGGCCAGGTGTGATGGGGGTGGGAAGTTACACATCCTAAACATCAGATTATATCGCTCTGAAAATACATAGCTATGGAAGAGCTGTTATTACAAAAACTATTATTACTGGCCACCTTTCAGGGAGCAATTATTATTTGCCAATGGTGAAGACAAAGCAGCAGACTCTCGGAGTATTTTTTCAGATTTCAGATTTCAAAATTTTATTCCTGATCTATCCTGGAAAGACTTGTGTTGAATTTATATTTCTACCCCTTATCATAAAGGACCCACGCCTTTCTGAACTTAGCCAGCGTACACCTAAGTATCACACCAAGAATCACCAAAACAACTGCCTCTTGTGAGATGCAGCAGAAATAGAGCCCTCATTTTGGGAGATTAGTTACTTTGCTATCCAAAGGAGGTACATTTATAACACCACATCCAATCTCAGGGACCAGGAGCACATCACCTGTTCCAGGGCAGTGCCAATATACTGTCCCACAAAAAGAGCTGTAAGGGGAAGGGCGGAATTCAGTCACAAGAACTAGTAGAAGACACAAGTGCCTTAACTGCCATATACGAAAAATGGAGCAAAGGAGGTTGGAAACTTCCTTCGAAATTACTCAAAATGCATCACATCCATCACATTCATTTCGCCACATTTAACGTGATTGGAAGTTATGCCTTTCCCAGTGACCACCACCTACGTTACCAGTGGATCAGGATGAGTGCATTATCAGTGGAAACATCGGTTGGTTAATGATGAGAAAACTGGGAAAAAGGTTGAGCGTCTTACTTCATAAATAAATTTAGACAGGAGAAATATTCCCATCATTTAGACTAAAAATGAAAGATACAGAGTTCTTAGGACAATATACACGAAAACAGCGTCCCTTCCAGAGAATAAATCTAAAGTACCATAAGGTAACAGCTTTCGGAGTAAGATCTCACTATTCAGCTCACAATATTCATGACTCCCAGATCCTACTTGCTCAGATCACAAGATACAATGAATCAACCAGGCTAGTTCACCCACATGATACTCACAACAATTCCCAGTCGACCATCGACAAAGTCGGATTCTGGCAGCTCGAAGGCTCCTTCTTCACCAGTCTTTGGTTTCTCTGTGGCTTCGTCAGTCACCGTCACCTAATCCAGCATCAGAAAATAACACTTAGTATGTACATGCAGAGCACATAATTAATGTTTACACACACAAAGGACAAGCAGAACACATGGGAAAATAAGACTTGACCAAGTACACAAAGCACATTTATTTGGGAACTAGAGCTGGGGCGATGAGGTCTGATCTGAGGGTAGAGTAGCTGTAATTACTCTGATAAAGATTTTTTCACCAGCATCATGATCTCACCTTTTCTACCCCTCCAATCCCTGCTAGATTCCTCACCCAGCTCTTTCTTCACCCCTTAATAATAATATATTTATTTCTACAAGTACATGTACAAGGTATACAGGCCTAGCTGACATCATACAGGCCTAACTGACATCAATGACATACTACTATATAGAAAGTTGCTTGTTATACACAGCATTTCGGGCAGATTAGGTCAGTTTTGTCCCAGGGTGTGACCCACAACAGTCGACTAACACCCAGGTATCCATTTTACTGACGGGTGAACATAGATAACAAGTGTATAGAAACACGCCCAATGTTTTTACCCGGGCTGCTATGTATGATAATCTATGTAAATGTATTTGTGTATACCTGAATAAACTTACTTAACGGAACAGGATGGATATTGATAACTTTTCCCCGACCTAGAAGTTAGAATTTCAGAGGGAAGGACCCCAGAGGCCAATAGCAGAAAAGGAAGGAGAGGGGAGTAATGGGGAAAGGACAGCGAAGGGAAAGGAGGAATGGGTAGGGAAGGGGAGATTGGAGAGGGGTGTAATAAGACTGAAGGGTTCAATTCCTCAGACCAAAAGCCTCTTCACTGTGCCAGGGAGCTCAACATAAAGAGGTTAGGGGGTCAAATAGTGCAAAAGGAATGGAAGTTTGACCCAAATTAAAGGGAGCACAGATCCGATTTCCCAAATCAGAAGCTCCCCCTTGCTGACATCAATGAACCTCACTTAGAAAAACCAAAGAGTGAACACTTACCGGAGGCCTGGAGCCAGTTCCGTTGGAAAGTTCTCTGTCATGATCTGGGTGATTAGCAGCACCAGGCCGACTTACCCCGCACCCCATCCTTCCTTTCCCTCTCCTGATAATGGCTATCAATTTCTTGGCTGATGATGTTTGTTTTTATGCTATAGGACTGTGTCGATGCTGTGGTGATGCTGTGATTTCTGTTCCTGAATTCTGGCGTCGTTATTGCATCTTACGTACCATTGCTCGCTTCGCTATTACCACTAACTTATACAATCATTATCATTTTGTATATTTCCATTACGAAATAATAGTCAAATTAGTCAATAAACCTGACAGGGTCATACAGCGTTGCTTCCCTTATGTATTATTACATTAGTGGGAAGCACTAAACCCATAAGGGTCACATTATTATTATAATCATAACCAAGCCTAAACCCTTCGTAAAGGCCACAGCGCCCAGGTAAGTACGAGGTAATAATTCAACACAAAGGAATTCCTTTATATAAACTCTTATTATAATTTTTCAAAACTTTTAAGTATTCATAAGCCTACAGCTGTTTCACCAGTCTTTAGATATTCTGCTTTTCACGTCTAGAGTGTAAACCTATACTTTCATTTCGTATTCCTTGACAAGTGTCAGTTTACTAAGACTCCCAAACTGTTATTCCTCTATTTTCAAATTATATTATTATTACATTCATGGGGAACGCTGAACCTGCAGGGGTCATACACTGCCTGGGGAAATAAATGACATTTAGACTAGACTCGAGAAACTGCAGCACAGGTTTAATTTCTTAAATCATGAGCTCCTCACCAGTATCAAGGGCCTTAATGCTGACGAGGGATCGTCTTTGGATCGAACCTGAATACCTTCAGCTCCTTTGAGTGGACCCCTTTTTAATAACTACAGAAAAATTATAAAATCACCAATTTCTTTAACCTTCATTATTATATTGGCCATCATCTAGGGGAAATGCTAAACCCATAGGGATTATCTTAGCGCACGAGCAGCAGAAGGCAATAAGGTTCGAGCCAAGGAATAAATCAAGAGCCCCTCTCCAGAATAAATTATAACAATCAAAACTAATTGATAAACCAACTATTGTCGTACAGAGCTGTCAATCAGAATCCAAGAACTCCTTCGAAGAGTCAACTAGTTAAACTTCTCCCTCATTTTCCTACAGTATTAATTTTCACTTCCACTTAATTGTAATGAACCATTATACATTGTGCAAGACTGATATATAATACCGACAAGATGAAATTAAGACATGTGCAACATCTGGGTATCTTTATTGTAGACGTTTCGCCATCCAGTGGCTTTATCAATACAAATTCTAGGACATAACTTGAAGACAGTAGGACTATATACAGAAGATGAGGTAATCAGTCCCTCAACCTAGGAGTAGGTGCGAAGAGCACCATAGTCGTGGAGAATCTCCACGACTATAGGCTGTTACTGCTGGCCGCACGCAAGCTGACGTACGAACCACAGCCCGGTTGGTCAGGTACTGACTTTAGGTGCCTTCTTGAAGACAGCCAGGGGTCTATTGGTAATCCCCCTTATGTATGCTGGGAGGCAATTGAACAGTCTTGGGCCCCAGACACTTATTGTCTTATATCTCAGTGTACCTGTGGCGCCCCTGCTTTTCATCAGGGGATTATTATAATAAAAAAGAAGCGCTAAGCCACAAGGATTTTTCATCAGGGGAATGTTGTATCTCCTGCCAAATCTTTTGCTTTCATAGGGAGTGATTTTCTTGTGCAGGTTTGGTACCAATCCCTCCAGGACCTTACAAGTGTATATTATCATGTATCTCTCTCGCCTGCGTTCGAGGGAATGCAGACCAAGGATCTTCAACCGTTCCTAGTAGCTTTGGTGCCTTATCGTATGTGTGTGTGCCGTGAAAGCTCTTTGTACACTCTCCAGGTCTGCAATGTCGCCAGCCTTGAAGGGAGCCGTTAGTGTACAGCAGTATTCCAGCCTAGAAAGCAAAAGCGATTTGAAGAGAATCATCATGGGCTTGGCATCCCTAGTTTTGAAGGTTCTCATTATCCATCCTATCATTTTCCTAGTGGATGAGGTAGATACATCGTTGTAGGCTTTGAAGGCGAGATCCTCTAACATTATCACTCCCAGGTCCTTTACATTACTTTTCCGCTCTATTGTATGGTTAGAATTTGTTGTATACCGTGACACATTTTTAATTTCTTCAAGTTTCTCATATCTGAGTAGTTGAAATTTCTCCTCGTTGAACTTCATAGTTTTTGAGTGGCCCATTCGAAGATTTGGTTGATGTCCGCTTGGAGTCTCGCGGTGTTTTCGATGGAGGTCACTGCCATGGTAATCCGGGTGTCATCCGCAAAGGAAGACAGAACTATGGCTTACATCTCTAAGTCAGAAATGGGGATGAGGAACAGAATGGGAGCGAGTACTGTGCCTTGTGGAACAGGGCTTTTTACCGTGGCTGCCTGTACTTTATTCTGTTTACTATTACTCTTTGTGCTCTATTTGTCAGGAAGTTGTAGATCCATGTACCAACTTTTCCCGCTATTCCTTTATCACGCATTTTGTGTGCTATTACACCATGGTCACACGTGTCAAAAGCTTTTGCAAAGTCTGGGTATACTACATTTGTATTTTATCTTCTACAGCATCCAGGACCTTGTCATAGTGGTCCAGTAACTGGGACAGGCAGGAGCAACCTGCTCTAAATCCGTGTTGCCCTGGGTTGTGTAACTGATGGGTATCTAGGTGGTTGGCGATCTTGTTTCTTAGAAAGATCTCAAAGATTTTTATGATATGGGATGTCAGTACTATCGGTCTGTAGTTCTTTGCAATTGGTTTACTGCCACCTTTGTGGAGTGGGGCTATGTCTGTTATTTTTTAGTGTGTGTGTGGGATGACCCCAGTGTCCATGCTCCCTCTCCATAAAATGCTGAAGGCATGCGATAGGGGCTTCTTGCAATTCTTGATGAACACGGAGTTCCACGAGTCTGGGCCTAGGGCAGAGTGCATGGGCATGTCATTAATTACCTCTTCAAAGTCTTGTCATCTTTTGACTACCCCACACAGGATTTTCATGGATGTTAGACTAACCACTTACACTTTACTTCTTCCCCACCCTCCCTGCGAATTCAGGCTTCATTTACTGCTGCCTGCCCAGCTCACTTACGCCTTACATGTACTCGTGGCTCGTTCTTTGGGACCGGGGATAGCTCCCCGGCACGACCGAGACGCTGGGTGTTTTATCACCTGCTGCCTCTGTTCACCTAGCACTAAGTATGTACCTGAGTGTTAGTCGACTGTTGTGGGTTGCATCCTAGGGGAGATCAAAAGGCCCCAATGAAAATAATACGGGCCCTGAATATTAAAGGACCCCAATGAAAATAATACGGGCCCTGAATATTAAAGGACCCCAATGAAAATAATACGGGCCCTGAATATTAAAGGACCCCAATGAAAATAAGACGGGCACTAGCTTCAATGGATTATCTTGGGTTACTAACCTTCCGGGTTAAAAATCCGAAATCCTTATTTTTAACGAACTAATCACCGTGCCCACTAGTCTCGCTCACCCACCACCACCTTTACCCACTCGCTGCTCTCATATGCCCCACCCATCGTATTTTTTTTTTCTTTTGCGAGCGATAATGTATATATTGTCAGTCACCATGACCCAATCCTTCCCTTTATTTTAACAAATGATTCTAATAATCAACCAGATTTTAAAGAGGTGGACCGGTAAGCCAGCGGAAGGCCTCGGTCAGATGACCAAAAATTCCAGCTGTGGATCATCACCTTAGACCCGCGTCAGGAAACACTTGTCCTGTTTCCTGACAAGCCTTACCTAACTTGATCCTTCGTTTGCGGTAACTGTACTACAACCGAATTACATGCTATATTTAGTGTAGGGCTTACCAACCTTTTCTATGCCACGCACTCCTGGGAATTAATCATAGGGGGGGGGCGCTAAACCCGTAGGATTATACAGCGCATGCTGGGGAAAAGAGGTATTCAGGCTCAATGCAGGGAACCTGAGCACAGATCCATTTCCCTAGATCAAGAGCCCCTCACCAGCATCAAGGAACCTCCTTGAGGGGACACCCCCCTAGGAAATGTTTGATTAATGTTGCACTCCCTACAAAAGTAATATTACATTTGAAATTGAAGTCCGAGTTCTAATTTTTGAATCACAAATTGACCCAAATACATTACTGCGGGTGAACAAATTGATCTCGAGAACTAATTATAAACATGGGGAAACCTAAACCAGTAGGATTATACAGCAGTCAAAAACTAAGTCTTTAATTCTGTGCATATAACGAAAATCTAAAGTGATCAATTAGAAGTTATTGGTAAAATAAATGGAATTGTACTTTACATTAGAAGTCTTTCTTACACCCCTTGAAATACCATCTGACATTCCCTGGGGGTGGGTGTACCCAGGTTGGGAACCCATGATTTAAAGGGTCATACAATACTTGGAGATTATTATAATCATAACTAAGCGCTAAACCCACAAGCAGCGCTCGGGGAAAGAAGATGTAATCAAAGTTACTTAAATACATACATTTGTATTTGGATTTTCATGCCCAAGATTTTTAGTAATTTTTAAGTCAATTTTTACGATTCCCTTCAAATCATTTCTCTGTGGGCTGGAATATTGTTGTACACTAACGGCGCCTTTCAAGGCAGGTTAAACTGCCGACCTGGAGAATGTATAGAGAACCTTTACGGCACAAACAAGTACAATAAAACACCAAAATACTGGGAACGGTTGAGGTTCCTTGACTTGTATTCTCTGGAATGCAGGCGAGAAGATGCATGATAATATACACTTGGAAAATTCTAGAGGGATTTGTACCAAATTTGCACACGAAAATCACTCCCTACGATAGCAAAAGACTCAGCAGGCGGTGCAATATGCCCCCCACCAGTGAAAAGCAGGGCCGCCACAACACTAAGTGCCAGGGGCCCAAGACTGTTCAACTGCCTCCCAGCATTCATAAGGGGATTACCAATAGACCCCTGGCTGTCTTCAAGAAGGTGCTGGACAGGCACCTCAAGTCAGTACCTGACCAGCCAGGCCGTGGTTCGTACGTCTGGTTGCGTGCGGCCAACAGTAACAGCCTGGTTGATCAGACCCTGATCCACCACGAGGCCTGGTACAGACCGGGCCGCGGGGGCATTGACCCCCGAAACCCTCTCCAGGTATACTCAAAACTTATTTCTAAGTATTTTTATTTTAATCAGGTAAAGCTCTAAATTCGGAGGTTATATAGCACCTGGAGAATGCTAATTTTTCATCCTTTATTCAAGGAGGGGGAGCAAAAGTTCAATTCCTTGATCAAGCTTCAACCCCCTTCACCAAGCTTCCTCCTTCACCAAGCCTCCTCCCCTTCACCAAGCTTCCTCCTTCACCAAGCCTCCTCCCCTTCACCAAGCTTCCTCCACCCCTTCACCAACATCATGGGACCCTTCTCGAGGTATTTTGGTAAACCACATTTTAGTTAGTCTTGTTGTAACACGAACGAAAACAATTGTATCTTACACAAACATTTTAAATACCAACCCCGACACTGTCTCAATATTTCATTAACACATTTTTTTCAATTCTGTACTAATTTAATTATCTAACAGCGTGTGATAACAGGTAACTCTGACACACCCTTTATCCTTTTCTTGTTCATCTAAATTTAATTTTTCCAGGGTAGAAGCGAGTGCAGTAAGTGTATGTGCACCACCCATTACACTCGAGAAGTGACTGAATTCGTCCTTACTGAGAACCACCACTACCATTCTCCCTTACAAACCCCCTCCTCCCCCCTACGCTCTCACCCTCCCTCCAACCCTCATAACCCAACTAATGCCTAAACTCCTTATTAATTATTGGAATACAAAACATTCTTGTTCTTTTTCTAATACAAAATTCTTGGGCTTCACTGTACATATCTGCCTTATGTTGATAATGATCCTTATCTTCAAGTTTATGACAATATTAATTAACTGGCAATGTTTAGCATGTGGCCGACTCATAGTTGCATCATACACGTTGAAATATTTTTTTTTATATTTTATTTGGGGAAGCGCTGAACCCACAGGGATCATATAGCGCTTGGTGGATGATAGGTATTCAGGTTGGAACCTAGGAAAGGTTAATGGATTAAGTTCTGGCCGGCATCAAGGAACTTCCCTTGAACGGTGGGGCATAAGAGGTAAGCATGTTTGATACAAGAACGGCCAGTAGTTTCCATTCTTTTCATCAAGAACCTTCACAAGCATCATTATTACATTCTTAGGGGGAGGGGGGTGCGCTAAACACGTAGAGGCCATGGAACGCCTAGGGGAATGGAGCTAATTAGATTCGATCCAAGAAATGGGAGGTCACATGTAATTCCTTCAATAAAAAAGGCCCTCGCCAGCATCCAGGAAGAATATACTATTTTAAATTGCTAGGTACAGTATTAATTTTATTTACAGGTAATCACTGACCCCGTATGAGTCATACAGTGCCTCGGAAGTTGAAGGCAATTAGTTTTAACCTAAGGAACCAGGAAAAGTGGAGAGCAAAGACAAGGGAATGAAGGCACCTCCCTAGAGGGGTGGAAGGTATGCATTGTCGGTACATGGCATCGAGCGCGGCGCGGCGCTGCGCCTGACACTCGTCCAAACTGGCTTACTCAGTCTTCACACTTGCTACTAATCAATCTTCAACATAGCACTGCCAGCTGAGCTTTGTACCAAGGCAACTTACTCTTCATATTAATAATATTTTATTACACATTGGAAAACGTTAAACACGTATTTTCATTTTAATCCGGGGAGAAGAGCTAAACCCGAATTTATTTTAATAAAGGGAAGCACTAAACCCGTAAGGATCTTGTAGCGAACGGGGACTGGGAGGCGCTCAGGTTTGATCCAAGGGGATGGAGCTTGAGTCCGGTGTTCTGGACCAAGCTTCTCTCACTAGCATCGCCTCCCTCGAGGGAATTTGGTGCTCTATACACACGGTGCTGGAAAGAAAAATAACGTTTATAGTCAGAGTTAATGGAGTGAATTGTACAATACTGCCCTAAATGGTAACCCAGAAAAGGAACAATGAAATTATCACTAGCAAAAAAAATTTTTGTTTCCAATCTCTTAAGGTTGCCACCGAGCAGGGCTCAAAGACGGCAATTCTCGACGCAGATGAGCCACAGACGTAGTAATTATTTTATTAGTCCCGAAGTATTAAGCGGAATAGTATAGACGAAGAGGAAATGGAGGTAACTACCTTACACAGTACTTATTATAACCAGGGTTAAGAGTTAACTCCTTAAGTTAAACAGCACATGAGGAATAGGAGATAACCACATTGTAACCAATAAAGAATATTATAACGTGCCAAATAACCCCTCTTCCCTCGCATACCATCAACACGACAACATTTGTATTTGCAAATATACTATACAATATTAAACAATACAGAAAGAACAAGGTGGAGGGGCGGCCTGTATGTCCCTGAGTCACTCATTTGCTCGGAATTACTAAACACCACAAATGAGATAGCTGAAGTTTTGGCAGTAAAGACTGAGAACCAAAATCTTGTCAATGTGGCTGTAAAAAGCCTCCTGATGCAACTTCCCAACAATTCCAGGAACCGCTCTTGAAAACTGACCACTGTCTAGAAAATCTCCCAACTCCTGCCCCAAACATCTTACTGCTGGGTGATTTCAACTTAGACACCTAAAATGGAGGAATGTAGCAAATAATATTTAAGCAGAGAACCCCAGGAAGCAGCTCACACACACACAAGAGCTATTAAATCTCTTGACCTCATCTTCACTAATAATTATGATCTGGTACGAAATATAACAGTATCAAAGACAATACAGTTAGATAACAACAAACATGTATGCAAAGGGCTCCTGAGCAGCAAAATGAGATCAGTTACGAAGGTGCTTTCATCAAATTCAACTTCAATGAGAGAAGCATACACTGGGATCAGATTAACCATGTCCTAAATGAAACATGATGGGAATATATCCTAACAACACGGATCTGAACCACTGCCTAGAGAAAATTAACTCTGTGGCACTTGAGGTAAGGTCTCGGCACATTCCGCTAAGAAAAAAAAGAGATGTAAACTGGAAAGAGGTCAGTATATCTAAAATACGTAAGGAGGCACTGGCCAGAGAAATAGAAAATATCGAACTTAAGCTTAACGGCCCCTTTCAAAGCAGGCGAAATTGCATACCTGGAGAATATACAGAAAACTTTCACGGCACGTATAACTACGATAAAACACCTAAATTACTGGAAACGATTGAAGTCCCTTGATTTGTATTCCTTGGAATGCAGACGAGAAAAATACATGATAATATACATTTGAAAAATCCTAGAGGGATTAGTACCAAATTTGCACACGAAAATTACTCTTTACGAAAGCAAAAAACTGGGCAGGAGATGCAACATCCCCCCAATGAAAAGCAGGGGTACCACGAATACACTAAGAGACAACACAATAAGTGTCAGGGGTCCCAAAACTGCTCAACTGCCCCCCAGCATACATATAGGGGATTACAAATAGACCCCTGGTTGTCTTCAAGACAGAGCTGGATAAGCACCTAAAGTCAGTACCTGATCAGCCGGGCTTTGGTTCGTACGTTGGTTTACGTGCGGCCAGCAGTAACAGCCTGTTTGATCAGACCCTTATCCACCACGAGGCCTGGTCACAGACCGGACCGCAGGGAAGTTGATCCCCGAAACCCTCTCCAATTATACTCCAGGTAGGTAATCATACAGGAGGCGAGGAAACAGGAAAAACTTAAAGCCATAAATGAAATTTAAAAAAAAAATTCTTATGGCAAATCTAGGGCAAAAACTACATCCAGTATTGGACTCCTGCTTAAACAAGCTCGGACTTATACAGATGACAACAAAGAAATGAGTGAGATACTGAAGTCTTAATATGACTCTATCGTTTAGTGAGCCGTTAATCAGACTAAGGGTCGACATCTCTAAATGAATTTTTATGACCGAGACTCAAAATTTGGTTAATTCAAGAATTTCTGACAATCCTAACAACACAGGACTTTGAAAAAATAAATGACATGCCCATGCACCCTGCCCCAGGCCCAGACTCGTGAAACTCCATGTTCATCAAGATGTGCAAAAGCCCCTTTCACGTGCACTATTCTATGGAGAAGAAGCATGGACACAGGGGCCATCCCAGTCACTAAAAATAACAGCTGTATTATTATTATAATCAAAAAGAAGCGCTAAGCCACAAGGACTATACAGCAAATAACAGCTGTAGCCCCACTCCAAAAGGGTGGCAGTAGAGCAGTTGCAAAGAATTACAGACCGACTGCACCAACGTCCCACATCATAAAAATCTAAGAAGCAAGATCGCCAACCACTTGGATATCTATCAGTCGCACAACCCAGGGCAGCATGGGTTTCAAGTAGGTCATGCCTGCCTCTCACAGCTACTGGATCACTAGTCTTGGATACACTGGAGAACAATTAAAATGTAGATGTAATATACACAGAGTCTGTGAAAGCCATCGACAAGTGCAATTATGGCGTAATAGTACACAAAATGAGTGATAAAGGAATAATAGGAAAACTTGGTAGCTTGATCTAAAACTTCCTAACAAACAGAGCACAAAGAGTAACAGTAAAGAGAGTAAAGTCAAAGGAGGCTACAAATGTAAAGGACCTAGGAATGGTAATGTTAAAAAATCTCACTTTCAAGGATCACAACAATGTATCTACCACATCTGCTAGGAAAATTATATGATTAGTGTACAGCAATATTCCAGCCTTGAGAGGACACACGATTTGAAGAGAATCATCATTGTCTTTGCATCCCTTGTTTTGAGAAAATTCAAAACAAGGGATGCAAAGACAATGATGATTCTCTTCAAATTGTGTGTCCTCTCTAGGCTGGAATATTGCTGTACACTAACTTCCCCTTTCAAGGCAGGCAAAACTGTAGCCCTGGAGAATATAGAGAACGTTCACTGCAGATATAAGTGCCATAAAGCACCTAAATTACTGGGAACGGCTTAAGGCCGTTGAACTGTACTCCTTGAAACGCAGGTGAGAAAGATACATGATAATATACACTTGGAAAATCTTACGAGGGACTAGTCCCAAATCTACACACGGAAATCACTCCTTATGAAAGCAAGACTCAGCAGACGGTGCAACATCCCCACACTGAAAAGCAGGGGCTCTATGAGTAAGCTAAGAGACAACACAAGACGTGACGTGGTTTGACAGAAAAGAATTTGTTGTAGACCAACTCGGACCACGATGTTGCCAGGGGTTGCAGAGTTGCTGGGGGAGCATTGAAATACAGTCAGAGAAAGGAATATCCCTGGGAAAGCAGGATGTCATGAACGGTTGACCAGGCGACCGAGTCTGCTTGTTCACTGCCCTGAACATGTGTACCCAGGCACCCAGTTCTATACGAAGGTCGATGGGATGAGGAGAGTTGAATTTCTGGATAGCATGTAGCACACTCTGGGAGTTAGAAACACCCTAAATGAGGAAGTGAACGTGGTTAAAATACTGAAAAGAAAGACCCTCTGCAGCCAAATGAGAGGGAAAAGATTTAAAAGGACAACGAGAGGATAGAAAACAGTAAAGTGGTAGACACCATATTTACAAAACATTATGCTAAGTCTGTAAGGGTGGTAGATAATGGACTGAGGCGGCAGATACAAAGACAGTACATTCTTCACCCCAGTTCTTCTCACATTCATAGGAATCACTAAACGCACAGGGGTCATACAGGAAGAATCATCACCAATTCGTTGGATGAAGAGCACCACCAGACCTTCACACACTTAAGGTATTGACAACCAAATTTTATTTACTGCACAAATTCACAACAAATAGTTACCGTACCAGATAACTGGAAGCTAAATGAGACACACTGGAAGCTTAATGAGAAATTCACGCTAGAAGCTTAATGTTTTGGTTGTGTGAGTTAGTGGTGTGGTGGTTGTGTGCGGTATTAGCATGGTAGTGTGGTGGTAGTGTTGGGTATCAGTAGTGTGGTGGTATTGTTGGGTATCAGTAGTGTGGTGGTAGTGTTGGGTATCAGTAGTGTGGTGGTATTGTTGGGTATCAGTAGTGTGGTGGTAGTGTTGGGTATCAGTAGTGTGGTGGTATTGTTGGGTATCAGTAGTGTGGTGGTAGTGTTGGGTATCAGTAGTGTGGTGGTATTGTTGGGTATCAGAAGTGTGGTGGTATTGTTGGATATCAGTAGTGTGGTGGTAGTGTTGGGTATCAGTAGTGTGGTAGTAGTGTTGGGTATCAGTAGTGTGGTGGTAGTGTTGGGTATCAGTAGTGTGGTAGTAGTTTTGGGTATCAGTAGTGTGGTGGTATTGTTGGGTATCAGTAGTGTGGTGGTAGTGTTGGGTATCAGTAGTGTGGTGGTAGTGTTGGGTATCAGTAGTGTGGTGGTAGTGTGGGTGGTAGTGTGGGGTGGTAGTGTAAGGTGTCAGTAGTGTGGTGGTAGTGTGGGGTGATAGTGTAAGGTGTCAGTAGTGTGGTGGTAGTGTGGGATGGTAGTGTAAGGTGTCAGTAGTGTGGTGGTAGTGTGGGATGGTAGTGTAAGGTGTCAGTAGTGTGGTGGTAGTGTGGGGTGGTAGTGTAAGGTGTCAGTAGTGTGGGGTGGTAGTGTAAGGTGTCAGTTGTGTGGTGGCAGTGTGGGGTGGTAGTGTAAGGTGTCAGTAGTGTGGTGGTAGTGGTGTGGTGGTAGTGTAAGGTGTCAGTAGTGTGGTGGTAGTGTAAGGTGTCAGTAGTGTGGTGGTAGTGTGGGGTGGTAGTGTAAGGTGTCAGTGTGGTGGTAGTGTGGGGTGGTAGTGTAAGGTGTCAGTAGTGTGGTGGTAGTGTGGGGTGGTAGTGTAAGGTGTCAGTTGTGTGGTGGCAGTGTGGGGTGGTAGTGTAAGGTGTCAGTAGTGTGGTGGTAGTGTGGGGTGGTAGTGTAAGGTGTCAGTAGTGTGGTGGTAGTGTGGGGTGGTAGTGTAAGGTGTCAGTAGTGTGGTGGTAGTGTGGGGTGGTAGTGTAAGGTGTCAGTAGTGTGGTGGTAGTGTGGGGTGGTAGTGTAAGGTGTCAGTAGTGTGATGGTAGTGTGGGGTGGTAGTGTAAGGTGTCAGTAGTGTGGGTAGTGTGGGGTGGTAGAGTAAGGTGTCAGTAGTGTGGTGGTAGTGTGGGGTGGTAGTGTAAGGTGTCAGTAGTGTGGTGGTAGTGTGGGGTGGTAGTGTAAGGTGTCAGTAGTGTGGTGGTAGTGTGGGGTGGTAGTGTAAGGTGTCAGTAGTGTGGTGGTAGTGTGGGGTGGTAGTGTAAGGTGTCAGTGTGGTGGTAGTGTGGGGTGGTAGTGTAAGGTGTCAGTAGTGTGGTGGTAGTGTGGGGTGGTAGTGTACGGTGTCAGTAGTGTGGTGGTAGTGTGTGGTGGTAGTGTAAGGTGTCAGTAGTGTGGTGGTAGTGTGGGGTGGTAGTGTAAGGTGTCAGTAGTGTGGTGGTAGTGTGGGGTGGTAGTGTAAGGTGTCAGTAGTGTGGTGGTAAGTGTGGGGTGGTAGTGAAAGGTGTCAGTATGTGGTGGGGGTGGTAGTGAAGTGCAGTAGTGTGGGTAGTAGTTAAGGTGTCAGTAGTTGGTGGTAGTGGGGTGGTAGTGTAAGGTGTCAGTAGTGTGGTGGTAGTGTGGGGTGGTAGTGTAAGGTGTCAGTAGTGTGGTGGTAGTGTGGGGTGGTAGTGTAAGGTGTCAGTAGTGTGGTGGTAGTGTAAGGTGTCAGTAGTGTGGTGGTAGTGTAAGGTGTCAGTAGTGTGGTGGTAGTGTAAGGTGTCAGTAGTGTGGTGGTAGTGTGTGGTGGTAGTGTAAGGTGTCAGTAGTGTGGTGGTAGTGTAAGGTGTCAGTAGTGTGGTGGTAGTGTGGGGTGGTAGTGTAAGGTGTCAGTAGTGTGGTGGTAGTGTAAGGTGTCAGTAGTGTGGTGGTAGTGTGGGGTGGTAGTGTAAGGTGTCAGTAGTGTGGTGGTAGTGTGGGATGGTAGTGTAAGGTGTCAGTAGTGTGGTGGTAGTGTGGGGTGGTAGTGTAAGGTGTCAGTAGTGTGGTGGTAGTGTGGGGTGGTAGTGTAAGGTGTCAGTAGTGTGGTGGTAGTGTGGGGTGGTAGTGTAAGGTGTCAGTAGTGTGGTGGTAGTGTGGGGTGGTAGTGTAAGGTGTCAGTAGTGTGGTGGTAGTGTGGGGTGGTAGTGTAAGGTGTCAGTAGTGTGGTGGTAGTGTGGGGTGGTAGTGTAAGGTGTCAGTAGTGTGGTGGTAGTGTGGGGTGGTAGTGTAAGGTGTCAGTGTGGTGGTAGTGTGGGTGGTAGTGTAAGGTGTCAGTAGTGGGGTGGTAGTGTGGGGTGGTAGTGTACGGTGTCAGTAGTGTGGTGGTGGTGTGTGGTGTTTAAGTGTAAGGTGTCAGTAGTGTGGTTGTTGTGTGGGGTGGTAGTGTAAGGTGTCAGTAGTGTGGTGGTAGTGTGGGGTGGTAGTGTAAGGTGTCAGTAGTGTGGTGGTAGTGTGGGGTGGTAGTGTAAGGTGTCAGTAGTGTGGTGGTAGTGTGGGGTGGTAGTGTAATGGTGTCAGTTGTGTGGTGGTAGTGTGGGGTGGTAGTGTAAGGTGTCAGTAGTGTGGTGGTAGTGTGTGGTGGTAGTGTAAGGTGTCAGTAGTGTGGTGGTAGTGTGGGGTGGTAGTGTAAGGTGTCAGTAGTGTGGTGGTAGTGTGGGGTGGTAGTGTAAGGTGTCAGTAGTGTGGTGGTAGTGTGGGGTGGTAGTGTAAGGTGTCAGTAGTGTGGTGGTAGTGTGGGGTGGTAGTGTAAGGTGTCAGTAGTGTGGTGGTAGTGTGGGGTGGTAGTGTAAGGTGTCAGTAGTGTGGTGGTAGTGTGGGGTGGTAGTGTAAGGTGTCAGTAGTGTGGTGGTAGTGTGGGGTGGTAGTGTAAGGTGTCAGTAGTGTGGGGTGGTAGTGTAAGGTGTCAGTAGTGTGGTGGTAGTGTAAGGTGTCAGTAGTGTGGTGGTAGTGTGGGGTGGTAGTGTAAGGTGTCAGTAGTGTGGTGGTAGTGTAAGGTGTCAGTAGTGTGGTGGTAGTGTAAGGTGTCAGTAGTGTGGTGGTAGTGTAAGGTGTCAGTAGTGTGGTGGTAGTGTGGGGTGGTAGTGTAAGGTGTCAGTAGTGTGGTGGTAGTGTGGGGTGGTAGTGTAAGGTGTCAGTAGTGTGGTGGTAGTGTGGGGTGGTAGTGTAAGGTGTCAGTAGTGTGGTGGTAGTGTAAGGTGTCAGTAGTGTGGTGGTAGTGTGGGGTGGTAGTGTAAGGTGTCAGTAGTGTGGTGGTAGTGTGGGGTGGTAGTGTGGGGTGGTAGTGTAAGGTGTCAGTAGTGTGGTGGTAGTGTGGGGTGGTAGTGTAAGGTGTCAGTAGTGTGGTGGTAGTGTGGGGTGGTAGTGTAAGGTGTCAGTAGTGTGGTGGTAGTGTGGGGTGGTAGTGTAAGGTGTCAGTAGTGTGGTGGTAGTGTAAGGTGTCAGTAGTGTGGTGGTAGTGTAAGGTGTCAGTAGTGTGGTGGTCAGTGGTTGCGTGGCAGTGGCGGGTACATTGCAGAGTCACTTGTTTGCACAGAACTGCTTAATGCCTCAAATGACGTAGTGGAAGTTTTAGCAGTAAAGGTCGAGAACCAAAACCTAGTCATTGTGGTAGTCTACAAGCCTCCGGATGCAACATCCCAGCAATTCCAGGAACAGCTGTTAAAAATTGACCACTGTCTGGAAAATCTTCCAGCTCCTGCACCCAACATCTTGCTCCTGGGGGATTTCAACTTAAGGCACCTAAAATGGAGGAATATAGCAAATAATATTGTTGCAGTAATAACACCAGGAGGCAGCTCTGATGAAAACTCACACTCACACGAGCTTTTAAATCTCTGCACAAAATTAAATTTAAACCAGAAAAATAATAGAGCCTACTAGACTGGAGAATACACTAGACCTCATCTTCACTAACAATGATGATCTGATAAGAAATGTCACCAATCAAAACAAATATACTCAGATCACAACATAATTGAGGTTCAGACATGTATGCGCGGAGCCCAGACCGACATAATGAGACTAGTCACGAGGGAGCATTCACCAAATTCAACTTCAATAACAAAAACAAAGTGGGACCAAGTAAACCAAGTCCTAACCGATATAAGCTGGGAAGATATACTAAGCAACACAGACCCCAACTTATGCCTAGAACAGATTACTTGGTGGCCACTCGATGTATGCACAAGGCTTATTCCTCTAAGAAAAAGGAGGAGTAGATGTAAAATAGAAAGAGAACAGGCGCTCCCCTTACAGGCGACGGAAAAGAATAACAGAGCGGCTAAAAGAGGTCAATATATCTGAAATGCGTAGGGAGACACTGGCCAGAGAAATAGCAAGCATCGAACTTAAGCTAAAAGAATCCTTTAGGAGTCAGGAATCGCGGGAAGAACTAAAAGCCATAAATGAAATCGAAAGAAACCCAAAGTATTTCTTCTCCTATGCCAAATCAAAATCGAGAACAACGTCCAGCATTGGGCCCCTACTTAAACAAGATGGTCCTACACAGATGACAGCAAGGAAATGAGTGAGCTACTCAAGTCCCAATATGACTCAGTTTTTAGCAAGCTGCTAACCAGACTGAGAGTCGAAGATCAAAATGAATTTTTTTATGAGAGAGCCACAAAATTTGATTAACACAAGCCTATCCGAATGTTTTCCTGACGCCAATGACTTCGAACAGGCGATAAATGACATGCCCATGCACTCTGCCCCAGGGCCAGACTCATGGAACTCTG